ATGTGATGAGACGGGATGATGACCATGTGACTAAAAGGGTTTTTTTTTTAATGGGTGATAATGGAATGGTAACGCCACCCGCGCTATCGGTATACACCGGCGGGGCACCAGTGAAGGATGATAGGTGAGAATGAAGCAGGTCAGTTAGCCCATCGTGACAAATTCAACAAGAATTGTTCACGATGGTTTCCAGGGGAAACCAGGTGGAGGTCGACCTAATAGGGCATATTGCTAGCAATGGGGCTGTCAAACTCCATTGCTAACAATCCTTTTCCCCTCTAACTAAAAGGGTTATAACCCTTTTAGGGTTATAACAATAGAAGAAAGGAAAAGGTGCCATGGTCCACCATTAGGTTGCAAACAATCCATAATCGTACGAGATGGTGCAGGACTACTAGGAGAGCAGACCCTAAATAAACTGTCCTAAAAGCCAAGAAAAAAAAAAGGAGAAAAAGAATTCTATTAAACAAAGCCATAGAAATGCAATTAATATTCCCAGATTTTAATATCCATAAGACACTTCTTGCAATGGCGTTGATCCTCAACCGGTCCCTACCTAAATTACCTTATTCATTTAACGGCTTCACCCTGTAACAGATGCGAAATTATTTGATTTTTTTCAAGCGGCCCTCGCGTAATAATGTGCGTTGATAGCGTGATATCTGAAAGTTTCTCAATTTTTATATTTGTCCGTTAGAAACTTCTTATAAGGTTGAGTGAGATGAGTATGGTTTTCAACAGGCAGATTTTATTTCAAAAAATATCGCCGTCAATATTACGCATACGTCGTAATTAATACTGGACAATTTTTTTTTTTTTTTGTATAACTAATAAATGATGCCTTTTGATTTTTAGAATGGCAAGCAAGTTGTGATTGAATCCGAAATGGAGATATTCGCAGAAGAACTAAAATGTAGCTTTGAGGACAAGCAAGCTAAACTGTCAAAGGGCTAATCATATATTAAAAATTTTACAACGCGTTACGTGGGAGGAGGGAAGGCCAAAAATCTTAAAAAATTACATAATATAAGTAGGTAGGCATTATATGTACTTATAGTGTAATATTTTATTATATATTTTAATATTTTATTTAACTGTATGTTTGTTTATGTATTAATAGTTGTAGCACTTCAACTGCCCGCTAACGAAATGCTTTCTTACTGAACTGGGTTGACTGGAAGAGATCTCTGTCAGAGATAAGTCCACCCTTGCTCACAACATTTATAAATACATTATTTTATATGTAACTTACAAGTGCAATAAAGAATATATACATAATATTTGAGCGAGTAGTGGCTTTGCGTAAATGAGGCGATTCGCGATCAGGCGCAATTTGGTAAATGAACTTCTCTGAATTGGCTCTAATCTAGATTTTCTGAATGGTGGCCCCAAATTCCTTTGCCTGGTTCCTTATAACACAGGCTATTCCAGTTCGAGGATCAGGTGATTAGTGTGATTGTGGTATTTTATTATTATACAGGGTGGTCCAAAAGTCCTTAGAAAAGTAAAATTTGAATTAAACGAAAACGGCACGCGTGAGCTGCGTTTTGTGTGCGCGAGTTTTATCAAAACAACAATTCGGCAACCGTTGCGAGGCGTTTTTAATTTTGATGACATCGGTTCGACGTTAGATAAACCGCGGTTAAGTCGCCCAAGGATATCACGTACGGAATAAAACATCGACACAGTGGCACAATCTATTCGTGAAAATCCTACACAGTCAACTATTCCAGTGCATTAACCGATCCAGGACATCGTTACAACGGATTTTGATAAAACGTTCAGTTGGTGCAAGAATTAAAAGAAACTGATGCTATTCAGAGAGTGAATTATGCTAATGAAATGTTTAATCGATTTACTTCGTTCAATAACATAATGTTCTCTGATGAGGCACACTTCCACATTAACGGGCATTTTTTGCCGCTATTGGAGCCCGATTAATCCAAAACTTAAGCACCAGACCTTACATAGCCCTAAAGTTACAGTTTGGGCCACCCCGCCTGTCAGCCCATGGCATCATAGGGCCTTACTTTTTTGAGGACGGCAGAGGGCGTGAGCAAAACTTTCCAGGCTTTAATGCCCGAACATGGTTTCAACAGGATGGAGCAACTTCCCACACCTCCAATACTGCTATGCCCGTTATCAACTTTTTCCAAACAAAGTTATCTCTAAGAGAGGATTTCCTGGCCACCACGTAGATCTGACTCCAATGGATTTTTTTTTGTGGGGCTAAAGGCTAAAGGTACAACTCTAACCCGCGGTCAATTAATGACCTAAAAGAAAACATCCGCAGAGAAATGGCAAGCATTTCAGCAACGTGCCGCGCAGTCATCGACAATTTCAGAAGGCGTTTGCAAGAGTGCCGTGACTGTAACGGATTACATTTGGACGACGTTATTTACAAAAAATAATTCCCGTTTTTCTAGCTATATTTACAAATAAAAATATTATTCACAGTGTAATTAGTTTTATTTTAATTAATTTTTTTCATTACTAAGGACTTATGGGCCACCCTGTACTAGTTTTTACTCGTGACTTCGTCCGTGTGACCGGGATATGTTTACTGACCAAGATAAAACTTAACCTATATCATTCTCCATTCTATTTTTTTATGGGTGAAAATGGAATGGTAACCCCGCCTGCGCTAACGGGATACGCTGGCGGAGCACCAGTGAAGGATAATAGATGAGAATGAAAACAGGCCAGTTAGCCCATCATGATGAATTCATCAGGAATTAACCATGATAGTTTCCAGGGAGAACCGCGAGGAGGTCGACCTGGTTAGGTATATTGCTAGCAATGGGATTCTCAGTCTCCATTACTAACAATCCCTCCCCCCCCCCTCCATCCTATTTAGTATGTGTATAAATTGTAATTATCATAAGCGATCATTGAAACTTCTAGAAAAGAAAACGAATTGGAACATAGTTATCAACATTCTTATTAAAAATAAACATAACAAGTCTTGTTTTCAAATAAACGTAGTACTTTATTCTATTTCTCATGAGTCAGGTTTATCGTTAAGATACAACGCCGACCTATGACTTAAACGATATGTGTATACAGGGTGAAATTAAAATAACGTTATATTATAATAATGATATAACTTTCAAGAAAAGGGCATATTCTTTTTTAAAAGGTCGGCGGTACACCTACAATGCCTTCCACCCATGATCACTCATAACACTATGAGTGATCATGGGCGGTGGTAGTCACTTACCATCAGGTGAGCTGCATGCTCGTTTTTATTTAAAAAAAATATCAACTACAGACGCGTATATTCCAAATATACAATAGAATTGTGCTCTATAAAAAAAAACTATTTAGATTTAAAAAACTAAATTATTAAACCGATTTTGATAAATTTCTATGCTACCAAATTTGTAAGTATATCTATACTAATATTATAAAGAGGAAAGATTTGTATTTTTATGTGTATGTATGTTTGTAATAAATAAACTCAAAAACTACTTTGCTGATTTCAAAAATTCTTTCACTATTAGAAAGCTACATTCACCGTGAGTAAGATAGGCTATATTTATTGCTAGAAAAGATTAGGTGTAAGAAAAAATGCTATAAAATATCTTTCGTTGCATGCATTGCGGAAACTATTTGTGATAGAACAAAAGTATGTTCTACAATATTGAAGAAAATATTAATAACTACAAAAAACTTCGCGATACTATATGTCCAACTATTATCGTTATGTCACAATAACCAGTTTTTAAAATGTTGTAAAAATGACGGGCCGCTAGTCCTTTCATATCATCATAGTCGTAGAATACTGACGGATCTTTATATGTAATATTCGTCAGATCCGTCAGTATTCTACGACTATGACGATATAAGAAAAATTCTGAATCGGTTTACAATTGACGGAGTTATGAGGTAACAAACAAAAAAAAACAAACGAATTGAGAGCTTTTCTCATTGTTACCTTTATATTTTCATCAATTATAATCTAACTTGGGGAAATATTTTTTTTTATTTTTCAGATTGGTTCCTTAGGTATGTTATGAAAATCGATTTAGTAGTTTAGTTTCTAAATCAAAGTAACTAGTTTTGCCACAACTGAAGTCGGTTTTATTTGTGGAATCACAATCTTATCTTTTTTTTTATACCACTGAGGTGGCAAATAATTATACCGCCCACCTGATGGTAAGTGGTTACCATAGCCTATGAACGCCTGCAATACCAGAGGTATTATGCGCGCGTTGCCGACCCTGAAGAAACCTCTTAAAGAGTAGTCTCTTGGAAAAACCTCGGCAGGGAGGTTTTAAATGTACTGCTCCAAACATTCTTCTAATGTGTTTAATTTTAGTTTCTTAAGAAACCGATTTTTTTTTTCTGAGAATAATATGGATTAAAAAACAACGAAATACTTTAAATCTCCCATATCAACATGGCGCAGATGATAGATTAGAATAAAGTCAGGTCTGATTACCTATTTGTTGAGACTTTGTACAAAAGTCGATTGCTTGGGTACCTCTGACCCATTCGTGTTTCTACCGTGAAGCAGTTGTGTTTGCATGGCTGTGTTTCGGTTTGAAGGATGGTATATAGCGTGAATTTACAGGGTACAGAGGAATAACACCTGAGTCTTCAGGAATGGCAACGCATGGGGGGTATCATGGACGAAACAGTATGTGTGTGTATTGTTATATCCATGGTACTGCTCATATCTATAGGCGACGGTTACCACTTTCCATCAGGTAGGCCGTCAGCTTGTTTGCCATTCTAAGTCGTATAAAAAAAATCACCACGATGGTTTGGGGAAGGGGATTGTTAGTAATGGGATCTAATAGCCCCATTGCAAACAATATAACTTGTAACTAGGTTCTTAGTATAGGCAATAGTATTATATTATCTGTGGTATTGGTGATCAAAATTTATATTTTAAAAAAAATCTGTCTTTTCATTTGGCAAAGACAGAAAACAACAACCTGTATCTTCGGTTATTACCCGATAAATTAAATGTACTCATATATTCTGCCAACAAGCAATAATATGATATCGTATATGTAAGCTCAATTTTCTTGTAATATTGTCATTTCTTTGGTTTACTGTGTACTGTGTGTACGGTTCCTCATGTCACTGGACTTCTTTATACTATTTCTTGGTAAGAAATAATTGTGTAATACTAGTGTTTTTTTTTTTTATACAACTTAGAATGGCAAACAAGCTGACGGCCCACCTGATGGAAAGTGGTAACCGTCGCCTATAGACATGAGCAGTACCATGGACATAACAGAGTATACTGTTTCGCCCATGATACCCCCAATGCGTTGCCAGTCCTGAGGACTCAGGTGTTATTCCTCTGTATCCTGAAAATTCACGCCATATCCCACCCTTCAAACCAAAACACAGCCATGCAAACACAACTGCTTGACACCCAGACAGAGGTACCCAAGCAATCGACTTTTATACAAAGTCTCCCTCTGGTGCCTTATCTTAGAAATCTTATCATAGTAATGTAATAAAATTGTAACTATTTATGCCGACTCCTGTTACTTAGACCTTACCGAAGAGCAATTAAACAAACTTGAGCGTCTTCAAAACTTATGTATCCGCTCCATATTTGGCCTTCGTAAATATGATCACATTTGTCAATTTAATACTCAACCCAAGTGGTTTCCTATCCATTTTTGTCGTAATCTGCATATCCTGCTTCTTCTTTACGCAACCCTTTTTAACCCCGTTGATGCTGATCATACTGCGCCAAATACCCTTTGTCTTTTTTTCAACGTCTTCTACCCAAAGATTGTCTGTAAGAGATTGCTTAGCGATAAGGCCGCTTTTTGTATCACTTCTCATTAATTTACTGTATTTATTATTTTTTTACTTGGTGAAGACTTGGTATTCCTGAAGACCTAACTTAGAATCTTTTTTTTTACTTTACTTGGAATAATAAACAATTGTATAGTACATTACATAACAACATAATATAGTATTATATATTGAATACGTGAATATTAAATAAGATACATACATACATATCTGTCACGCCTGTCCCCCATTAGGGTACGCAGAAACAAAGGAACGCCAAATGCTTCGATTCAAACAAACCTCTTTCGCTTCTTCCACATTCATCAATCTTTTCATACACGCTCGCCGGTTACGGGTACTTTTAATTTGGCCCTTCTTCAGCACGTCGCCTATTTGGTCGACATACGTCCGTTTAGGGCGGCCCCTACCGACATCTCCATACATTCTTGCTCGATAAATCTCTTTCGTAATTCTTCTTTCATCCATCCTCTCCAAATGACCAAACCAACGCAACATTCCTTTTTCAATAATATAAGAAGAATATATATATATATATTCTTCTTATATTATATATATATATATATATATATATTTATAAATATACATATTTTTCTTTTAAATAAGATACGTGAATATAATATAAGATCAATACCATTATCCACTAATTATTACTTAATTATATAGACAAAAACACGGTTATATAAATAGATATAATAGTATCATAAGTCAGTAAACAAATCATTATAATTACTCCCCTCCATCCAAAGGTTGCCTGGAAGAGATCGCTTTTAACGATAAGGCCGCCCATTGTTTTCTCATTGTGATTATTTCTTGTAATTGTTTATATTTATAATAAGCTTACTATTGTAATCTTTTGGAGGAGACAATAAAGAGTATCTATCTATTCGATTTTCTAGTACGCTTCAAATGTGCACGTCATTCTGTATGTGTTTTATAATCTGTTGTATGTTTTACTTTAATAAACCTATAAATAATCCATAAATCTGTGCCTCTAGTGAGAAAAGGTTCAATTCAAAATGGCCACTTTTCAGGAGGGCCAAAAAATTATTTTAAATAAAGAAAAAAATTCTGCTGCTTTTATTATTTGCTAATTGAACAAGTCAATGATTGCATTTATAGTAATTTTTTCTCCTCTTTCTTATGAAATTGTCGGTTTTTGTGTAAAACCTATAGTTTTAAAAATAATTCTATTATACCTAATCACACTTAACAAAAATATTAAAATTATCATGTGAAAATAGTTTTAAGTTGAATTAAAACTATTTTATTGAAGTATTGAAGAAAAACAATGTTGTGTATTTTACGCTATAAAAAAATAATCGCTATTAAATGGTGTAAAAGGGTTCAAATCGAACTGATTCATTTTACACAAAAATAAATTCATATTTAAAGGGTGGTTCTAAGTATCTTGTCATTTTTGGCACTATTTTTGTAAAATATTGTAGTTTTATTTCTAATTATGACTTTTTTACCACAAATATTTTGTTAATTGTAACCTTTTACATGTTTACTATCTCTATTGTTTTTAAAGATATCGTTACGATTCTTATACCATTCGAAAGAGAAAAATTTGCTTATTTAAAGTAGCCTAAAAAAGAAAAAGGCTATAACTTGAGTTATACCCTTTCTCACTAGAGGCACAGAAATAGTCAGGTATATTTTAAAAAGGTTTTTTATTAATTTTTATACTGGGTAGTTTTTTACTTATGATTGAAACTCCTACCTTATCTCCGTAGATTGTAAAACGAAAAATCTGAAATAATTACAGTTTATAAAGTTATATACAAATGCTTCGAGAAAAGCGAGTCGACTTTTTCATAAAATTTTGCGTGATAATTAGTTATGAGTGATTTTCTTTATAACTTCTATATTTATTTTGTCGTATAATTTCTGCATCTTTTCAATTCGTAAATAATCATTTAGTTTATTAAATAATTAAATATAGATACGTCAAGATACATTATGTGCGTAAATTTATAGAACACTGACGAAAAACGATTCAGCTTATTTGCCAATTAGGTTTTTTTATTGATGATAGTGGAATGGCAACCCCGCCCGCGCTAACAGTATGTGCTGGCGGGGCACCAGCGAGGTATGATAGATGAGAATAAAAGGGCATGTTAATTTTCCCATTGTGATAATTACACCTGGAATTTACGATGACGATTCAGCACGATGGTTTCCAAGGGAGACCATGTGGAGGTTGAGTCCCATTGTTAGCAATATACCCTATATTGCTAACAATGGGACTGGTAGTCCCTATTAATAATAATTCCTTCCCCCTCGTTTTTATATGTTTACATACAGAACCCTTGACGGGTGCGTTTACTTCGCACCTGATCGGTTTTTTTGGGTGGGTGGGGATGGGAGGGGTTTGTTAGTAATGCGGACTACTAGTCCCATTGCCAGAAATATACCCTGTCAGGTTGACCTCCACATGGTGCCCCCTGGAAACCATCATGGTGAATTCCAGGTGTATTCATCATGATGGGATAACTGACCTGCCTTTTCATTCTCACCTATCATCCCTCGCTGGTGCCCCGCCAGCGTATACCGTTAGCGCAGGCGGGGTTACCATTGCATTATTAAGACCGGTTTTATTTAAATACATGTTTACCTCCTTTCAGTTGTCACTACAGTGACATGTCGCCATGTTCAATTCTACCGGAAAGACTATACATACATTGAGGAGTTCGATGCCTATTACAAATTACATGTGCCATCGAATAACGGTACATGGAACGATGCTTTCTTCACATGTGACAAAGAAGACGCCTTGCTATTTTATCCAGACAAACCGAATGAATGGACCATTGTGACCAACTTAACAGAATCTGCTGAGCAGTATAATATTACGGATATATTTGTGGGAATCCATGATAATGGTGCTGGAGAGTTTATGACTGTTAACGGTAATTTTTTTTTATACAACTTAGAATGGCAAACAAGCTGACGGCCCACCTGATGGAAAGTGATAACGGTCGCCTATAAACATGAGCAGTACCATGGACATAATAGAGTATACTGTTTCGCCCATGATACCCCCTCATGCGTTGCCAGTCCTAAAAACTCGGGTGTTATTCCTCTGTACCCTGTAAATTCACGCCAAATACCATCCTTCAAACCGAAACAGTCATGCAAACACAAGTGCTTCACAGTTGAAATAAAAGTAAGTTCTGTTTGGAATTTCAAAAGAACGAATACGCATTAATTCCCGACTCTTATAAAATATAGAGCATGCAGTGCGAAAATCTAAAAGTTAAAATCGAACATTCATAATTGTAAGACGTGAGAGCATTTAATGGTCGAGGGATGGGCAGCAGCGTGCCTCCTGAAACATCATCAAAGTCTAACTGCAGTTACTAACCCGCCTGCTAAGACATATTTTAATATCTTCATCTCCTATTCCAGGCCATTCAACACCGTCTCCTTTAATAAACGAGGCGCAACTAACTGCTGGCCAATGTGTGACGATGGATATAGAATCTGGAACCCTCAAAATTGACAATTGTGTCCAACAACCTGACGGAATGCTGAAATCTTTTGTTTGTAAGAAAGTAGAGGATGTGTCTTGTCCCACCATTGATCGTAGTAAGTTTCATTTTTTTTTTTACCTTTTTTATTTTTAAATTACTCGCTACTTCGTGCACTATAAAAAATATTCAAAACACGGTTTATATGTATTTAACAAAACACTGTCGAAGTTATTATATGTTGTTAAGTAAGTTAAGGTGTATTTGTGATAGACAGCTATTTTAAGTTTCTTTAGATAGAATTATTCTAACTTATACCTTAGGTACTCAGTTTCTTAGACACTTCTCACAGACTATATCTACTACAAGGAAACAAGGAAATGCTACAAAATAAACAATCATCTACAAACGTGGCACGAAGCATCCCACACGTGCTTTATGGAAGGCGGTCTACTGGTAGTCGTCGAAACTAACATTGAGGCAGAGATCTTAAAATCATTAATGACAAGATATAATCATTATCTTGCTGGATATAAAAAAATTACTTCTGACAGTGGTTATTATACTCTTAAAGGTAAGTAAAAAATGAGTCTTTAAAAACAAGCTTTTGTAATGTAATCCGCCATCTTGTGGACGCGGCCATTTTGATAATATTACAATACTAGCTGTATCCTACAATTTACAGGGTACAGAGTCAGAACACCTTAGTCCTTAGCAATGGCAACTTACAGTGGTACGCATTTTTTTTGTTATGTCCACGGTACTACTCATGTCTATAGGCGACGGTTTTTTCGATCTAATTACAAAGTTAAACCGGCAGTTATTAAAAATATATTGTGGGCAATAAAATAAAATTTTATAACAAATTCAAGCCAAAATTATTAAAATTTTTGATTATAATGGTCTATAAAATAGTAATTTCACAAAAGTACCTAAATTAAAATTATGGTCGAGGGATTGACAGCAGCGTCCCTGTTTAAACACCCATCATCATCATGACATTGGCCTTTAACTGTCCGCTTCTGAACATAAGCTTCCATCTTGAGGGTTTCTGCCAGTAGTTGCCATGTTTGGCAGACGGATTGACAACCACAGTTAGGCTTTAGAGATGTTTTATAATCCTTTAAACATAACTAAAGTCTATCCGCGGTTATCAAGCCAACGAAGCTACTGGCAAAACCCTCCAATACGGAGAGACCTATGTTCAACAGTGGACAGTTTATGGCTGATATGATGATGATGATGATTTACCATCATCGATTATAATATTAAGTTAGGAGATAGATTTAAAGTAAGAGCGCTTCAGAATTGGTACCGTAGTCGCAAAAGAAAAATCAAACGAAAGCCAGTTAAGAATTAATTCTTTTTTTTTCAGGTTCCACACTTTCCAGCAATTATGAGAGGTGGTATCGAAATGGGGGTGAAAATGATAGTCAAATGTGTGGTAGCATTTGTAATGATGATAACTTCGTGTACACCGTGTCTGTAGACTGCAACGATAAACATCGATCCATTTGTCAAATAGACACCCAAAACTGATATGGACTGCTTAAAAAACTGCATGCTATAATAATAATAATAATATACTTAATTACTCAGACTACAATTTGGTCCATTTTGTTAGTAACAGTTTTCTTACAAACTATGTTAGTAAAAAAGAAAAGCAAATTAATTAAAGCTTGTTCACTCAGATGTGACCCAGCCGACTAGAACAGCATCTGAATGAAATGCCCACTTATAGGCGAGTTATACTTCTCGCCTATTACTTTTAGAATGCTTAAAGAACAGAATGTATTTCCTCTATCATATAGCGTGATATCGAATCATTAACATGCTAGAATGCTTTAATAGTGAAATTGTACCTTATTCTCGAAAATACATCAGTTGCAATACGACGAAAAATTTTTGCGCTCCCATACTAAATTTGTAGTAAATTTACAGAGTACAGGGGAATAACACCTGAGTCCTCAGGAATGGCAACGCATGGGGACTATCATGCGAAACAGTATACTCTGTTATATCCATGGTACTGCTCATGTCTATAGGCGACGCTTACCACTTTCCATCAGGTGGGCCGTCAGCTTGTTTGTCATTCTATGTTGCATAAAAAAACTTATCTACTAGCGAAATAAAATGTTAATAGTGCAATGATTTTCTAATTAAGTTGCCACTAAAAATTTGAATTTTGATCACAAAAACGTACATAAAAAAATTCCGAAACAAAATGTAAAGTAAATGCAAAAATTTTTATAGTAGTTTTACATGCAAAATATTTTATGATTAACGTTTTATTTCGCTACCAGAAAACTTTTTAAATAATCATACAAAAACATTGAAAACAGTTCAATATTTTTTGAAAATTGACAGATAATTCTGACGTTTGCCACACTTCAGTAAGTTAAGGTTATGAACGCTCTTAAGTTGGCATAAAACGTTTTAAATTTCCCATCGTTTTTTCGACTCGTATTTCTTTGAGAAAAATGTCCGATTTCGCTAACAGAAAAGTCCCATAAAGTTGTGCTAATGTTTTCTATATAATCCTGTATTATAATAACGATAATATATTTCTGTATTATTTTTTCATATTATTGTATAATTATAGGTATAAATCATGTTCTCGGATTTTTATTGCTTTATATGACTAATAATTGTAATTACTACCTATTTCTCTTTACTAAAATTATGAATATGAAAATAAGTTCATTTAAGGCATAGCTAATATGGATACTGATCCGATATCTATATATTGGGCTTCTCTTGACATTGATGGAGGAATATACATAAATATATAATAGTTTTTTTTTTGCCTGCGCTAACGGGATACGCTGGCGGAGCACCAGTGAAGGGTGATAGATGAGAATGAGAACAGGTCAGTTAGCCCATCATGATGAACTCATCAGGAATTAACCATGATAGTTTCCAGGGAGAACAGCAAGGAGGTCGACCTGTTTGGGTATATTGCTAGCAATGGGATTCTCAGTCTCCATTACTAACAATCCCTTTTACCCCCAATATATTATATAATAGTTAATTCATGTGGAATTCGTCACGATGATGACCTGCTTTCACCCTCATCTGTCTTCTCTCACTGGTGCGCCGCCAGTGTATACCGATAGCGCAGGCGAGGTTACCATTCCATTATCAAACATTAAAAAAAATAGTATATACTGTTCATATCTATAGGAGACGATTATGATTTTCCGATTCCAAATATGGGCTATCAATTTGTTTTCATAAAAAAATATATTTACTTGCACATACTATTTTTTTTATACAACTTAGAATTGCAAACAAGCTGACGGCCACCTGATGGAAAGTGGTATTTGTCGCCTATAGACATGAGCAGTACCATGGACATAACAGAGTATACTGTTTCGCCCATGATACCACCCATGCGTTGCCATTCCTGAGGACTCAGGTGTTATTCCTCTGTACCCAGTAAATTCACGCCATATCCCACCCTTCAAACCGAAACACAGCCATGCAAACACAACTGCTTCACGGTAGAAACAAGAATAGGACAGAGGTACCCAAGCAAACGACTTTTGTACAAAGTCTCCCTCTGGTAAATATCACACAATAAAAAAATTCTAAATTTTACTTTTCCAAATCTAGGTATGGGCTATCAATTTGTTTCCCATTCTATAAAAAAAAAAAATTACTTGCATACACTCAAAAGAAAAATAATCAGTATTCTTCTTTATTCAGCAATCGGGTAAAAATAAGTGAAAACATTATGATAAATGAACATAAAAATTTCCAACGCCCCATAAAGCGTCCATTCCCAATTTCGGTAATATCAAAACAGTGTAATATTAATAAAATAAATAAATCCCATCTCATATCCGTTCCGTGCCAAAACATTTTATTTAGTGCGGCAATTTCACATTGGCGCGTATACTCGTATATTACATGATATTCGCTCAAATCCTAATGGTATTCGATGGTTTTCAATTTCCCTTACGATATAGGCATTGCGTGCGATCTCCTATTTCGCGCGGTTCCAGTTTCAGTAAATATAGTAAATATATATATAGTTATATATCTCATCTTCATTATCATATTGACCTTTAACGGTCCACTGCTGAACATAAGCCTCCCTCTTGGGGTTTTTTTTTTCATGGGTAAAAATGGTATGGTATGGAGTATGTGCAAGTAAATATATTTTTTTATGATATATAAAATGGGAAACAAATTGATGGCCCATACCTGAAATTGGAAAAACATAACCGTCTCCTATAGACATGAATAGCATATAGTATTTTTTTAATGTGTGATAATGGAATGGTAGCCACGCCTGCGCTTACGGGATAACCTGGCGGAGCACCAATGAAGGGTGATAGGTGAGAATGAAAACACGCCAGTTAGCCCATCATGATGAATTCAACAGGAATTAACCATGATAGTTTCCAGGGATATAATAGGATTCTCAGTCTCCATTACTAACAATCCCTTCCCCCCCCCCCCCGTCTTGGGGGTTATGTCAGTACTTGCCACACTTCACAATCAGATTTGAAACCGCAGTTAAGCTTTGGAGATGTTTTAATGGGAATGCTGCTGCCTATCCCTCGGCCTCCCTTGGTCGCCTTTTATGTCACCCACGGGAAAGGAAGGGGTGATCTATTCTATGCCGGGATCGCACGACAGTATAAGCTTTTTATTCACGAGGTATATATACGTTCCGTAAAAATGCCGCGAATACAGACACCGTGAATATAGAAAGCCGAACCACTTATAAAGCGGCGACAGCATTTGACAACATACTTTAGGTGTAGTTGTAATAAAGTCTGTTTAAATTTTTTAATAAGTTCATTTGTCGACGCGTTTATAAAGGATACCGAATCCTTTTTATTAATTAAATGTACCGATTAGATCCGCGAATAAAGAAATCTTTAGCCGCAAATATAGGAATTCGGTCGCAGTTCTTTTAAACCGCGAATAATGAAAACGTGAATAAAGAACTTTTACTGTTTTGACTTGAATAAACATGTTTCGCTAACAATAACTCCTATTGTAGTATACCTTGTGGACACCGGGTGGGCTATTATCTATTGTTGTACCCAATAAATATTAATTAATGAAGCAGTTAATTGACAGACCGTGAATAACGTAGCGTTTATTGTCCCACTGTTACTGTCTTATTAGTTATGTCTTCGTGGAATTCGATTGGGCTCAATGATTTAGTCAAAAGTTTTCGTGGGTTGCTACTATTTTCGGTATGCGCTGAAACTAGTTATTTCTCATTATATAGATATTAATAAACTGTCTTGATTATCAGAGCCTATTTGGGGAAACTGGGAAATTGCCCAAAACGGCGTAAATAAGGGATGTCAATATTGAGGTAGGGTCTAATAGCAAAAAGGAAGGGAAAGGGATTGTTAGTAATTGTGGAGATTGAGAATCCTATTGCTAGCAATATACTCAACCAGGTCGACCTCCTCGCGGTTCTCCCTGGAAATTATCATGGTTAATTCCTGATGAATTCATCATGATGGGCTAACTGGCCTGTTTTCATTCTCATCTATCACCCTTCACTGGTGCTCCGCCAGTGTATCCTGTTAGCGCAGGCAGGGTTACCATACCATTTTCGACCATAAAAAAAATAGCAAAAAGGATACACCAAGTTGGATACGATTTTCATTGTTGTATTCTAGAGGGACTAACTTAAAATCTGGTGTGTGCTTTGTCTTGATACTCTATTTAGAAGTAGTCTATTTAATTTATTTTTAATTTTCTGAAATCCACACGAACGAAGTAACGGGCTAAAAGCTAGCTATCTAATAATTATGTATAGATACTATTTAGTTCTTTACTTGTCGACATCATGGAGGACAAATATTTTTAACCCAGAATGGTGAAAGAGATCTCGTTTTTAATCTCTTATCACTTTATTCTGTTATCTTAGCTCAATAAATAAATTTCTAGTTGAAAGGCGACACTGTGAGCACTGTATATACATGTCGGCTTACCAACACAATCAGTGATAGTAACACGGCAGACTTCTTCAACTGCCTTCCTCTTTGAAGAATATGGAGTCCAACGGTTCATATCCGAAGAGTTTCGAACGCCAACTTTCTTATCTATGCCGGTACTGCAAGCGGTTACAGCTCACTCTCAGCTATCCGAAGCGCGCAGTCGTTCTCGCACTCGCGTTACAGCCGCTCAAGATTAAGGGTCTCGAATTGATCCCGAAACTAGTTGAGCTTTCTCGATGTAATTACACTGGGAAGTTTTTTTTTAATGGGTGAAATTAAAATGGTGACCCCGCCTGCGCTATCGTTATACACTAGCGGGGCACCAGTGACAGATGATAGGTAAGGATGAAAGCTGGTCAGTTAACCCATCGTGACAAATTCACAAGAATTAACCAAGATAGTTTCCAGGACGAACCGCGTGGAGATCGACCTGATAGGGTATATTGCTAGCAAGGGGGTTGCTATACTCCATTACTAACAAGCCCTTCCCCCACACTGGTAAGTTTTTTTTTGATGGGTGAAAATGGTATGGTAACCCTGCCTGCGCTAACGGGATACGCTGGCGGAGCACCAGTGATGGGTGATAGATGAGAATGAAAACAGGCCAGTTAGCCCATCATGATGAATTCATCAGGAATTAACCATGATAGTTTCCAGGGAGAACCGCAAGGAGGTCGACCTGGTTGGGTATATTGCTAGCAATGGGATTCTCAGTCTCCATTACTAACAATCCCTTTCCCCACATTGGTAAGTTAAACCGGTAGTTATGACATTAAAATAATAAATACTATATTCAAAAACGGCATGTTTAGCAATCACCTCTTTTGAAATCAGTGGAAAAACAATTTAAACAAATTTTACGTAAATTTGACTTTTCCACCCTAAATCGTCAATTGAATTTGCAAATTTTTAATTTTGCCCAAGTATTTTATAAGTCTGTACGCAGCTAATTGAATGAGTGGAACGCTTTACCGGCATAATTTAATTACTAACAAAAAGTCCGGAGGCAAATTAAGTTTTAATGAGCCGAGGACGGCCTAATTTTTTTACCGACTTCAAAAAGAAAAGAGGATATTTTACTATACTAGGTGGTATTTTGCTGAAGTCAACATCACTATATTGGGGGGAAAGGGATTGTTAGTAATGGAGACTGAGAATCCCATTGCTAGCAATATACCCAACCAGGTCGACCTCCTCGTGGTTCCCCCTAGAAACTATCATGGTTTTTTTTTTTTTTGATGGGTGAAAATGGTATGATAACCCCGCCTACGCTAACGGGATACGCTGGCGGAGCACCAGTGAAGGGTGATAGATGAGAATGAAAACAGGCCAGTTTGCCTATCATGATTAATTCATCAGGAATTAACCTATTAGGTCTACCTCCTTGTGGTTCCCCCTGGAAACCATCGTGAACAATTCTTGTTGAATTCGTCCCGATGGGCTAGCTGACATGCTTCATCCTCACCTCCTATCCTTTCATCCTTCACTGGTGCCCCGCCGGTGTATACCGATAGCGCGGGTGGGGTTACCATACCATTATCACCAATTAAAAAAAAAACACTCGAAGATCGGCTATTATTTTTATTAACAGAAATTCTACCTACCATTTCGTCCACACACGTTTCTCGACACATTTTTGTTTCTATAAATACAGACAGACAAAAATTTTACTGATTGCATTTTTGGCATCAGTATCGATCACTAACCTGATAGTTATTTTGGAAATATATTTCATGTACAGAATTGACCTCTCTACAGATTTCATATAAATGTAAATTATAAGCATCCATACACACTATGCTAAAAGAATTCGAACAAAAAAGTTGTGTCTCCATAAAATGTCACCAATTGTTACTGTTGAAAATAATTAATTGTAATATTTCATGAAATTGAATTATAAAATTTTTTAAAATGAATAAGAGTCCTCTGCCGACTATCATAATAATTAACTATTTACTTAATGCCATCTAGTGGGTATACGTAACAATATTTTGTTTCTATACGACTGTATGCTTTGCTTGCTTTATAAATATTTATTTAGATTCTCCAAAAATATGGAGATGGCGCTATAATAGGTTATGTTACACTATTGATACACTACTATAATCCAAAAGGGATTTTTTTTACCGTAAAGCAGTTGTGTTTACATAACTGTTTCGGTTTGAAGGGTGAGATATGGTAGTGAATTTACAGGGTACAGAGGCATAACAGCTTATTCTTTAAAAATGATAACACTTGGAGGTATCATGGGCGAAACAGTATGCTCTGTTATGTCCATGGTGCTGCTCATGTCTATAGGCGACGGTTACTACTTTTCATCAGGTGGGCCGTCAGCTTTTTTATCATTCGAAGTTGCAAAAAAACGTCATCTGCTTGAATATATCTGTTCCACTCATGTTTCTGTCGCTAAGCTGTTACAGGTTCATGGCTCTGGTAATGTTCAAAGAGGAACGCTGCTACCTATTTCTCGACTATTAGATTCCTTTTACGATATTCATGGGAAAGTAAGGGACGGCCTATTCTATGTCACATACACGGCAAAAGATGAAAGATGACAATGAAATTACAGGATACACAAGCTTTAGCCATTAAACATGGTAATACACGAAAGGTACCATATGTATCACAATGGACGTATTTACCTGTCATCTATTTATTTATTTATTTACACTTTATTGCACCAAGTAAAAAGAGAAATAACAAATACAGTAAATATTAATGAGAAGTGATACAAAAGGCGGTCTTATCGCTGAGTAATCTCTTCCAGACAACCTTTGGGTAGAGGACATTGATTCATTCCTGTTGTTTTATTGTTAGATTCGTCACGGTGGGTCACTGATCCCCTTCATCCTCACTTATCATCCCTCACTGGTACTCCGCCAGTGTATACCGATAGCGCGGTATTATCGTTTTTAATAAAAAGAATCGCATAAAAACGGAGTGATTATATTATTCTTTAAATTTTTCTATGGTCATATCTTTTGTTAAATGCTATGTAATAACTTTAAATCCCAACCTTTTAACCCTTCTTTGCATACTGGTGGAAATTTCCATCATAACATTGAATGCCTAAAACTTATATAAAAGACTAAGTTCACTTTAAGTTGATTGTGTCTAGATAATTGTTTAATGTCCATTGAAGAAAAAAAAAAACATAGCTTTTAAAACAAATTTATTGTTTTAACCGTTTTTCCTTTAATTTTAAACATGAATTATATCACTTTGATTATGCGACTTTGATTTCGCCAATAATTTTTTTTTTTTTTATACGACTTAGATTGGCAAATAAGCTGACGGTCCACCTGATGGAAAGTGGTAACCGTCGCCTATAGACATAAGCAGTACGATGGACATAACAGTACACACACATACTGTTTCGCCCATGATACTCCCCATGCGTTGCCATCCCTGAGGACTCAGATGTTATTTCTCTGTACCCTGTAAATTCACGCCATATCCCACCCTTCAAAATGAAACACAGCCATGCAAACACAACTGCTTCACGGTTGAAACACGAATGGGACAGAGGTGCTCAAGCAATCGACTTTTGTACAAAGTCTCTCTCTGGTAAATCATGCAAAGGAAGAGTTAATCTGAAATTTAATATACTTGTTTAAGTACTTACATTATTACCGTTTATTGTCTACGACGAACAATAACTCGTAATACTTACTTGAATTATCTCAATCCCTTTAGCAATAGGACCACCCTTTATTGTACCTTTGTCTTGTTCATTAATCATTTCAATTTATATGTATTCTTGGCCATGTAGTCCCTGTATAGAATAGGCCATCCCTTCCTTTGTCGTGGGTGTCGCAAGAGGCGACTAAGGAAGGTGAGGGATGGGCAGCAGCTTCCCTTTTAAAACATCTCTAAAGCCTAACTGCGGTTACAAATCCGCCTGCCAAGCGTGGCAAGATTTTTTTTTATACAACTTAGAATGGCAAACAAGCTGACGGCCCACCTGATGGAAAGTGGTAACCGTCGCCTATAGACATGAGCAGTACCATGGACATAACAGAGTATACTGTTACGCCCATGATCCTATATCTCCAACTAATTGCCATTCCTGAGGACTCAGGATGTTATTCCTCTGTACCCTGTAAATTCACGCCATATCCCACCCTTCAAACCGAAACACAGCCATGCAAACACAACTGCTTCACGGTTGAAACACGAATGGGACAGAGGTACCCAAGCAATCGACTTTTGTACAAAGTCTCCCTGTGGTAAAATCTCCTGAGTGGGTGGCTTATGTCCAGCAGTGGACAGTTAAAGGCTGATATGATAATGATGATGTTTTATAATTTTCCTAATTTATTTTGCCAAAATAATACTTTGTACAAAAGCAGTCTGCGATCACCTTTGTCCAACTAGTGTTTCTGTCGTATGAAATTCGTCGCTATGGACCAACTGACCTGCTTTCATCCTCACCTGTCATCTCTCACTGGTGCCCTGCCAGAGTATACCGATAGTGCGGCGGGATAACCACGCCATTTTCACATTAAAAAAAGAACACTATACAACTTATTTGCCGTGAAATCTAGAAAAGGTTTCATAATATTATAGATGTGTATATGTATGAGTGTGTATGTGTATATATATGTATGTATGTGTATGTGTGTGTATGTATGTATTTTGCATATATAAAAACGGATCAATTGTGTCATTACGCAAATGTGAAAACGATTCATAGCTTAACATAGATATAAATTTGATTATGTATCGACTGTAATTCAGCTGTACGTTTCCCAAAAAATAAATAAATAAATAAATAAAAAACACTTGAGCTTCTATCTTTGATAAACTTAATACAGAGTTAGTTATTTCATTTTTATTTTTATTACCTGTAATATGAGGATGAATTATCTGTAAAAACCAGCTGCGCCTATAAAAGTAGATTTTTATTACGTCAGTATCGGAATAGAATCTTAGTTCCCATGTCTGATATAGTTATAGTCGATTACTACATAACCAAACCATTAATTACCATATATCCACTATATATTGTATATATACTATTACTAGCTGACTCGGTAAACGTTGTTTTACCATATACATTATTTGGAGAACTATACATGAAAATTTATCGTACTACAATTATTATATTCGCTTGCTATCTTGCTACCCTATTGCGGAATATAAAAATCGCGATTAAAAAACGTGTTAAACGATTAAATATACGTGTAGTATATTATTAGCAATGGGGCTACTTATCCCCATTACTAACAATCCTCCCCCCCATTGCTATGTCATACCCAATCTGGTCAACCTCCACACGATCTCGTCTGGAAACCATCACGGTTAATTCCAGGTATTTTCGGAAACGGATAGGTTAACTGCCTTACCATCATCATCACCTATCTTCCCTAATTGACACCTCATGAACCGGTAGTACAAACGGAGCTACCATTCCATTATGACCTATCTTCTATACTTATAATAAATCTGTAGAGAGGTCAATTCTGTACATGAAATATATTTCCAAAATAACTATCAGGGGATAATTAGTGATCGATACTGATGCCAAAAATGCAATCAGTAAAAGTTTTGTCTGTCTGTCTGTATGTTCGTTATAGAAACAAAAACTACTCGACGGATTTTAACGAAACTTGGTACAATTATTCTTCATACTCTTGGGCAGGCATATACTTTTCATCACGCTACGTTCAATAGGAGCAGAGCAGTGAAGGGAAATGTGTCTGTTACATCAAAACCACTGAACCGTGAGGAAGGACATTTTACTAAAAACGACGGAAACGCGAACGAAGTCGCGGGCAACAGCTAGTTTTATAATAAATAAGAACTTATCATCAATGGTATATATTTTTTTATTTATTCATTCATTTGTTAATTTCTGCTCATTTCATATAAATTTATTGCAATAAATTTAGGTTGCCTACAAACATGTAAAATGGCAACACATATTAGCTGACCTCGCGTTGCAAGATTTCATGGATATAGATAGATAGATAGATAGATACTCTTTATTGTTTCCTCCAAAAGATTACAATAGTAAACTTATTATAAATATAAATAATTACAAGAAATAATCACAATGAGAAAACAATGGGCGACCTTATCGCTAAGAGCGATCTCTTCCAGGCAACCCTTCTTACTTGCCTTCAGCGGGCCTACTCTTGAATCTAATATCGATTCAATATCAATGACAATTTGTACTCCACTCATGAAACTGTTATTTCATGAGTACAGTATTTTTTTTTATACGACTTAGAATGGCAAACAAGCTGACGGCCCACCTGATGTAAAGTGGTAACCGTCGCCTATAGACATGAGCAGTAGCATGGACATAACAGAGTATACTGTTTCGTCCATGATACCCACCATTCGTGGCCATTCCTGAGGACACGGGTATTATTCCTCTGTACCCAGTTAATTCACGTACAGTACAAATGTACAGTATAAATGCATACATACAGTTAGGAATTACTTTAAAATTTGGGATCTGTTTGCAAAAGTTTGCACTGGCAAGTTGCACGCCTCTATCAAAACAGTATAGAAACATGTCGCTAGTATTTCAATTCGAGAGTACAAAACGTTTCAATTCCAATATCGATTTATTAGTATTTATTTCAAGTAGGGTTACTGTATCTGTAGATAGACCATTTACTCATTTGTCTTTCTAAAAATCTTAAAATGAAGCTGCAACGAGGAATGGTAAGGAATGACATAAATAAATTCACCCTGTGAAAAGTGATAACTTCGTCCACTAATATGATCAATACCATAATCATTGCATAATTCTCATGGTGTTACATGATGCTCTTCCTAAGGACGATGGTGTTATACTCCCGTACCCTGTAATTTCATTAGTGTGTCGTAATCTTTAAATCGAATCATAACCATGCAATTTACCAAAGAGAGACTTTATACAAAAGGCGATTGCTTGAGCACCTCTATCCCATTCGTGTTTTTACCGTGAAGTAGCTGTGGCTGCATAGCTGAGTTTCGATTTAAAGGGTGGGATATAGCAGTGAATTTACAGGGTATTGAGGAATAACACTTGAGTCCTCAGGAATGGCAACACTCATGTCTATAGGCGACGGTTACTACCTTTCTATCAGGTGGACCGTCAGCTTGTTTACCATTCTAAGTTGCATAAAAAAAATGCAAGCACACCTACGCTGCGGCAAATCTCCAATATATCTTATTCCATCAATAAAAGTAATAAACTCATTTTTTCTTTTCATTTATTTTCAAAGTTTTGATGGAATTCAAAATTATATAATTTTTTTTATCTTCTTATTTATTTTATGTCTTGTAGATATTAAAATTCTAATACTTCAAACGAATTTTAAACTATTAGTATTACAACTTGAGACACAGAGAAAATAGAATTTAAAATATCATTCTAAGTTCTAAGTAATTTTCAAACTGCAATTTCAACACTGCAATATACATGGCAGAGTTGGGAGTGCAAAGTTGCAGAGTAGTTCCATGAAACAGGCCCCTGGAGACCCACCATGCACTATTATTCCCAACCATTTCAAGTTACTAAATACAATAGTTTCACAGGTGTTTTTTCACGTTTACATATTTAGGAAATTTTATTCATTTACGAAATGTTACAGTGTTCATTAACAGAAGTAAACACTTTAATTATTGGTTAAGCTTATAATAAACATCTGTAAAAATATCTAGCTAATCGCATGGCAGCAGACAGCAGTAGTTGTAATATTATTTCGTGCTTAAACAACTTTTCAAAATCGTTTAATGGCCGTTTTACATGATAATATATTACCTGCTACAGTTTAATTTCTACTTATGTATTACTGTATTGTTTCATCTTTAGGATTGCCAACAAGATTATGGTCTTTGCATTGTACTGTTGTTTAGTTGATGTGATAAGTACATTATTATATTATCTTGCAAGTATTTGTTACCATTTTATTGCTAAGTTAAACAAAATTTCAATATCTTAATAGCAATTTATTTTAATGACTGTGAGATTGCAACTTATAATATTACTTACAATTATGTAGGTACTAATTAGCGCAAGAATACTTTATTTAGCTTAATACAAAAATAACCTAAAACTAAATATTAATGAGGTGAGCCACGGCACACAGCCAATATTTCTTTGCGCTTTATTAACTTTGGCTTCTACCTCTTCTTGATAACTTCTATGGGCTTTCAGTTTGTCTGGTTTAGCTTCATCCGAAGCCATGTCGCGGTCATCAAAATCTTTATTTTCAATAGGTTTAGCTGAAACTGTAGCCAAACGACTGGTGGTTGGACTTTGTTTCTTTTTATTCTCTCCATTAGTTACTATTATATCATTCGAAAGTCCTATTTTATTAACATTATCTGCATATATTACTGTGGCTACATTCTTTGTTGTACTTTCTATGATGGATGAATCTACGAAGCCTCGATCTAATTTGGACGTTTGAAATTGTGTCGTTAATATTGGTTTCACAGTACTTATTGATACTGTTGTAGATATAGGTTTTGGACTAGAAGTTACTTTGGTGACGATAACATTATTGTTATCTGTTACTGCTTGATTGTTGTCTACTGTAACAGTATAATCAGGACCAGTGCAGTTCAATAGATACCGTACATCAGTATAGAATAGAGTTCCATTTAGTTGCGTTTCATCGTAATATTCGTATTCTGCGTTTTGTGATTGTTGCTCTTCTTCTTCAATTACCTCTTCTTTTTTTTCTTTATCCAAATCCTTGTTCCATTCGTCACGTAGAGCGTCACTTGGTACACATTTTATATTTATAAGGCTATTTCTTAAAATTTCATTTTGAGTCTTATACTTTAACGATAGGAACCAATCTAGTTGACAGTCGCAAGGAAATTTGTTACCTGAAAATTAATAAAAATGTAAGTACATATAATGGAAATGCAATTTCGCAGTTACTGTGACATTTAAAAAAGTATTTCTACTTTGGAATTTAGAGTGTTTGAAATAAATCATTTCAGATAATTAACAGCATCATTCTGATGCGTAATTAGTGTATTACAATGATGATAATTCATGTCGAATATTAATTTCACTGCTAAGCACTAGTCTTTCCCCTTTAGAACCATTTTACTACCATAATTATCGCATTATCCAGATGGCTAAGAGTACTGACAAACTATAATTTATTTTGTTACCCTAGTCACGTATAATGTCAAATTTTTAATTCGCCACTTATCTTATTCTTGTTTTATCACTTCACGGATTATTAAGAATATATTTAAATAATTTATAAGTTATAATAAGCAGAAAAACTGATATCAGAATAAAAATTGTTTGAAAAGACTGCATTTAAATTCTGATTCATAGTTAGTACTATCAGAAATGGAATACCATCATCACAAACCAAAGCTATTTCTTAAATAATCTTACCATCAAAATCCAAGAAACTTGAGGAGCTATAAAAGTTGTTTATTATCGGAGTCATAACGTCTGCTTTTATTTTTTGGATCAGATTTTCTTTTAAACTTAAAGTTTTTAAATTCTCCAATCCCTCAAAAGTTCTTACATTATCAATGTTCATTAATTTGTTGTGAGCTAATGAAAGAGAATGTAATTTCCCAAGTCCATGGAATGCTTTTTCATCTAACATTTGAATTTGATTTCCATCCAAATTCAAAGAACGAAGATTCACGAGATGGATAAACGTGTTATCGCCAATAACTTCCAAACTGTTGCTACTTAAGTCCAATCTTATTAAGTTAGACAATCCAGAAAAAGTTTCACTATTCAAACTAAACAGTTTGTTTTTATCGATTTCCAATTCCTTTAGATTGGTTAAATGAACAAATGCCCTTATCATGTATTGTTGTTATTTTATTTCCAGTTAAAAATATTTTCTGAACTGATGGCAAGTCAACGAATACGTCTCTATTTATTTCTTCTATATCATTGATATCCATACTTATAATAGAAACATTCTTATGATGAGCAAATGCATTCTTTTCAAGTATTTTAATATTGTTATCCCTCACAATAATTTCTTCTAAGTTGGTTAAGTTAGAAAATGCAAAAGCTTCAATTTTTTCTATATTCCCATATTTGATAATTAGCCTAGCTAACGATTTGGTATGCTGTAAAGCTTTTGTGGGTACATATTTAAGAAGAATTCCTCTGGTGTTTGTTAGAGTAAGTTTAGTGGCGTTTTCTAGTACTTCAAATCCATCCCAACTAGGGTCATCTGGTTTAACACCTTCTGTTGCTAAATAGCATTCAGCGCTTCTAAATTGTTCTGGTTTGAGGCTGTTTCTTACACAGTAACAAAGAACCTTGTTCGTGCTATTTACCATAGATTCACATATTGATGTTCTCTCGATTTCTCGTTTTTGATGATGATACCACTTTGATTCCGCTAATGCCCATGATGCACATAACACTGTGAGTATTCGCAAAATCGCCATGTTGTCCTTTATGCCGGAATCTGTGAAAGAAATAAAAACACTATTTTAGTAATAAGCATGTACTCTATAACTATCTTTACGTATATACGATCTCCTTGGGTACCTCTTTCCATTCATGTTTCTACCGTGAAGCAGTTGTGTTTCGGTTTGAAGGGTGGGATGAATTTACAGTGAAATTACAATGTACAGAAGCACAATAACACCTTACTCCTCAGGAATGGCAACGAATAAACGCATTAAGGGGTTACCCTTAATGTTAATAGGCGACACAGTATACTCTGTTATGCCCATGGCATTGTTCATGTCTGTAGTCGACGGTTACTACTTACTGTTGTTTGCCTTTATAAGTTGTATAAAAAAAAAAACAATATTTGAAATAAGATCATCTAAATATAACAAAATGATGAATTGAATGACGAATTTTACCTAAACGTGGCCTTTGTGACTCATTTCGCTTGTTTGCTCAAATAGTCGAAGTTAAGCAAGCTATGTGATCTCATGTTTTATAAATATTTATTGCAAGCACTATTTAAGTCTCTATTTGTCTAGCTTTTATAGACATATTTTATTTTTTAGTATTTAATAGTATCTAAAGAAAACGCGTTCTTCGTTTTAAATACACATTTTCTATATTTTCGAATTGTAATTGTAAAAACAGATCTATTATATTTCAGTTTATATATATATATATATATATATATATATATATATATATATATATATATATATATATATATATATATATATATAGTATACTCTATATGTAAATGAAATAATTATCACTGGCAGTACAAGTAATCACAACGTGTATCAATATAAAATGTACTAATTACTTGCTCACTGCATCAATATTCGAAGTTCGAAATTTAAATTGAACATTCTTATTCATTTTTTCTTTATATTTAATCCAGTTTATTTGAAATTTAAATCTAATATGTGTCACATTAATTTTTTTTTTAATTTGACACAAAAATGTTGCCAGCACTATGGTATCTGCCTCATACAATTTATTGTTACAAATCGCGCTCCATTGTGAATTTACACTTAATTATCGATCTGTTAACGTTGTTAACGATCCCCTATTAGTTGTGAAATTGGAACACAGATACGTTACATCTCATTACCGCAATTATGTGTGATAAACAACTTAAGACTGAGCATTATCAGCAACTTCCGTTAAAACTATTTTTAAATATACATATATATAATGTTCTTTTATAATGTTTCTGTTGGCGACAGTCCTCCTATTATTTTTACCTTCACCTTTTTTAGATTTATATTTTATATTTTGAATATGTCTTTTGATACCTATTTTTTTTCCTTGATTGACATATTGTATGTATTGTGCTTGTCTCAAGAAATTAAACCGGTAAGTCTCTAATATTATTACTTTATTATTGTCGCTGGCCTCCTCTTCTAACAGCGCCGTTTATAGTTTCTTTTTTTTTCTGATTTTTATTTTTTTTTTTAATAGATATAGATGAAATGATAACTCATCATTTAAGAGCGTTCAAAACATTAGCTGAACGAAGTGTGGCAACTTACTTTAAAAAACATATTAATGATATATCTGATTGATTATTTAATACTCTAATAGCAAAGTTAAACGTAAATCGTACAATAAATACTCATTAAACTGTTACTGAACATTTTAATGTAACAAAAAAAGTATTTGAAAAATTCCAAAGCAAAATATAAAGCTAAATAAAAGGTGCTAAGTTTTTAGTGTCAACTTATTTTGAGAATAACGTTTTAGTCCTCTATCAGAGGACTTTTAAATAACGGATCAGATACATTAAAAAATATTCAGTTGTTTTTAAAAATTAACAGCAATGTTGCTTATTTATCAATCAATCTTATCTGCTGAACATAAGCCTCCCCCATAGACTAAGGAACAAGGCAAATTCCTTACGGTAATTTACCTTTGTGGGGATTTTGCCAGTAGTTGTCACACTTGGCAAGTGTGTTAGATTTAGGTGACGTTTTAAGAGGGTCACTTCTGCCCATCCCTCGACCATTCAGTTCCTTTGGTCCTCTTAAAACGCCCACAGGAAAGAAAGGGATGGCCTATTCTATACCGGGACCACACGGTTTACTTTATGAATATTTCTATTAACCAGTGGAAAATTAAAAAAAATCAGAAAAAAAAAACAGGTAAATTTTTATATACATAAATACAAAAAGTTGGAAAGTTGTCGCCTCAAAGATAGCGACAGAAATCACTTATTAAATAAAAAAAATAAAATAAAAAAAACTAGTGGAAAATGAAACGCTGAAGACAAAGGTCAATAACAAAGTCATGAACAGAGTAATATGAAATAACTGAAAGGGATTTTGAATAGTACCCATTGATAGTAATTTATTCTGTCAGCTCGACCTCCATGCGGTTTCCCATAGTGTTTAATTTCTAATGGATTGATCACGTTCTGACTTGCTTACATCCTTGCCTATATTTAAAAAAAAAAAAAAGAATTTTAGAATTTTTGCAACCACTTGTATCTCTTCGTGTAATGTTTTATAACTATAATTTTGTAATTATGTAAATAAATATAAAAAACACTAGTGGAACTATAAAAGTGGTATCATTTTGGAGTACGTCGTCTACATTATTCATACTAATATTATCAATGTCAAAATGAGTTTGTTTGTTTGTTATCACTTTAACTGTTTAATCAATTACTATGAAATTTGGTATACACATAATATATAAAGATGTACATAGTTTTTTTTTTAATGTCAGTTATTGAACGTATCCCTATATAACCCCTTTAATAAGTTGCTAACTCTCAAACAAAGCTCTTAATATAATTAATATATTATTCTCAATTTCGTGTATAATATAGTATATGTCATGTATATGTAAGTATATTTGTTATTCATATATATATTTATCCGTTTATATATGTAATTTTAGTATGTATATATATCAATAATTACTAGTACCGCATTCGAGTATTTTGACACTTCCCTATGGTTGACTGGGAGAGAATGCTTTTAGCATTAAGTCCGCCATGTACACATATTTGTACTAATGATTAAATACATAAAAATGCTCCATCGCCACATTTATGTTATAAACGAGACAAAATTCAGTTAGTAAATTATATGAACGTAAAATGTAATAGACCCTTCAAGTTTCTCGTTTAAGAGATTAGAGTGAGATTCACTCTCCAATCATAATCGCTTCGAGTTAATTTTGTGAGACTCGTAAACCTTCCCGTTATAGGTGCTGGATGCAAATTTTATATCCTCTGAATATAAAAATCCGGATTGTTTGTCTGTCTTTGCATCTCTTTAGGTTTTTTTTTTTTTATATTTCTTGAAGAGAAAAACAATTTGATGGTGTGTCCAATGAAAAATTATAATTTCTACCTTTTTTTTTAAACAGAAATAATAAAATAGATTCAAATGCAAATATTTATTTTGTTAATAAAAATAAGCTTGTTTACAAACTCTTTTAAATGGTCATCTCCTACGATTTAACTGCTTAGCTTTTAGACCCCCATGTCTGAGATGATAAAAGTGATGGTGATAATTAAATATTACACAATGTAATCAGCATACCTAATGACTTGAAACTTGAATATCTACAATTGTTTGTTATAGTAATATTTATGTATGTATATATTTATCTATTTAATATATTATGTGTATGTTTAAATTAGTCTGATTTTATGTTTATAATATATGATTATATTAAATATTAATTTTTATATACCTTTAATTCAATAATGCACCACTACTTATTTCTCGGTATGCCCAATGGTTGACTGATAGAGAACACCATCCGGTGTTAAGTCCGCCATATGTACATAATTTCACTGTGCATTAGAGTTTAAATAAATAAATATGAATTACATATTATATAAAATATCAATAAATTTTAAAAAAGTTTTTGGCTCCTGTTTATACAAAAAAATCTAGATTGGATCTAGGCTACAATAATCTATCAATCTGTCCAAACTTTATAAATAATCCTAAGACTCACGCCTTTTCCCTTTTGGGATCAGCAGGTGAAGTGATCAATTATGTCTAAGAATCTAAAACATTGATATTTATTGCCCCTATTTATTTTTATAACGGACAATTCTTGGAGACAAGTTTATATTGGAAAACTAATCCGTTTAATAAGGCGCCAACTCTCAAACGAAGCTTCTAATCCTGCTTATTTTTAAAAGTCAGCGCTCGTGTCTCTTAATTAATTAGTACTGTTTTAATCCGGCCTTCTTAAGGGACTTGTTTCATCGACTTACTAACAGCGACATGTTTCAACATGTCTATTAAGACCAGAAGGAGACTTTGTACAAATGTCGATTGCTTGGGTACCTCTGTCCCATTCGTGTTTCAACCGTAAAGCAGTTATGTTTGCATGGCTGTGTATCGGTTTGAAGGGTGGGATATGGCGTGAATTTACAGGGTACAGAGGAATAACAACTGAGTCCTTAGGAATGGCAACGCATGGGGGGTATCATGAGCGAAACAGTATACTCTGTTATATACATGGTACTTGCTCATGTATATAGGCGACGGTTACCACTTTTTATCAGGTGGACCGTTAGTTTGTTTTTCATTCTGAGTTGTATAAAAAAATCAAAAACAAAAAATATAAATCAAGTAGGGGGGAGAGGGGATTGTTAGTAATGGGGATTAGTAGCCCCATTGCTAGTAATATACCCTGTTAAGTCAACCTCCTCGTAGTTCGCCCTGGAAACCATTGTGATTGATTTATTCATTACGACGGGCTAACTGACCTGCCTTTTCATTCTCACCTATCATCCCTCACTGGTGTTCCGCCAGCGTATACTGTTCGCGCAGGCGGGATTACCATTCCATTATCATCCACTAAAAAATAAAACACCCCCATTGCTAGTAATATATATTATCAGGTCGACCTCTACGTGATTCCTTCTGGAAACCATCGTAGAGTTGAATTCATCACAATGGACCGATTGACCTGCTACATTCATCCTCACCTATCATCCTTCACTGATGCCACGCCGATGTATATCAACAACGCAGG